AAGATGAAAACATCAACAAATGGCAAAATTGGTGCTTCCAGAAACTCTAAGCTAATTGAGGCCGAAGGCAAGCCTGGAAGAAGTTCGTCCCAAAAGAGAGATCAGAGTGGTGAAATAAGCCATTCTTGTCTTTGACATCTGTTTACATCTGGATGGGGCATATGGTAGAAGGGAAAAGTGTAATGACCAGAAGTAGAGGATTTTAGTGTGAAAATGAAGACGTAGAGAGGAAAGCCATGTGATATGAGCCTTTTTGTAATCCTTTACATTTTCACCACAAAGGTCACTAACTACAAAACTGGCTATGCTTGAGTATTTACTGGAAGACAGAGATCCATTGGGCTAAATTGTAAAGACATGCACAATGCAGAGTAGAATGGCAGGGTTGTTTGGAAACCCCTCTGGAATAGAGGAGACTCTGAGAGAGGGTAACAGTCTGTCAGGACACAATGTGTCAGGCGATTCAGAGAAGGAATTACAAACTGTTCTTGATCTTCCTTCAGAACCCTGCAGGTTGAAGAAGATAGACGTCAAAGAAAGGTTAAGAGAGAAAAGGGAAATGGGATGGAGCTTGAAAACAAGGGGCTTTCTAAATTGTGTTTGGCATTAAAAAAATAATCTGAGAAGTGGGAGGAAAGAAAGAGATAGCATATGGTGATTTAACAATTACCATTTGTTTCCCACAGTAGTGGGTTGTGAAGATAGATGGCAGATTTATAGCAGGTCTTGTATGCATTGTCAGAGAACTTGAACTTTATCTCTCAGGCTGTAGAAGATACTGAAAACTTTTAAACAAAGGATTGATTTGTTTTCATAGTGAGGCCACACTTGCAGTTCTGTCCACAAAACTTCTGTACATCACAATATGCCTGGAGCCTTGGGCTGATGATGCTACATCAATCAGGGGCAGCAAAGAGACATCACGATTTCAACAAATCTCATCATCCCCCAAAGGCCTTAATAAGTTCCTGTCATCAAAGCCATTCCAGCAGCTGTGTTGTGTAAACAATGTATCTATGGCAAAATATTCTGGAGTTCAACAGTAATCCTTCCTACTCTGAAGAAGGATAAGGATTGCCAAACTTCATATTCTTTCTTCAAGCACATATTTCTGGTAGTAGAAATTAGAGAAATCCCTGCATCTTATAATGCACCTATATTTAAGAACAGACTGGTGAATATGAATGGTACCAAAAACAGATAAGGAAGAGAGTTGTGATATGCAGATTTTCCTATCAGGGCTCCCTCATGCACTCACAACTATTGAGTGATATTCAAAAGAACAAGACTTTATTCACTACAGTATACTAGCACTTCTTTGAAACCTATCTTCAGTTTATTCATTTATTTATTGGAATTCACACACACACACACACACACACACACACACACACACACACACACTTCAATTAGTGTTACTGGCCTGCTTGAATTTTTTCAACTTTATATAAGTTAGGGTTACCTGAGAAAAGTGAGCCTCACTTGAGAAAAATGTCTCAGTAAGACTGTCCTACATGCAAGCCTCTGGAGGCATATTCTTGAATAAATATTGTTGTTGGAAGGGCATGGGCCACTGTGGGTGGTGTTACCCCTTGCAGGTGGTCCTAAATTGTATAGAAAAGCAGTCTAAGCAAGCTATGAGAATCAAGACGGTAAATAGAATTCCTCTGTAGTCTCTGTTTCATTTCCTGCCTCAGTTTTCCCCAGTGATGAACTCTATTCTGTAAGATGAAATAAACCCTTTTCTCTCCAAACTATTTTAGGTCATAGAGTTTATCAAAACAATAGAAATAAAACTAAGACAAAAATTTATGTGAAAAAGTGAACTATTGCCGTGATAGACTTGATCATATTATTTTAGGGAAGGTTATGGAAAGACATTATAGCCAGTGAAATAAAACCGTTGCTTTAGAAGGACAATTGATGATGGTTCACTGGAGCTGAAAAATAGGCAGTAGTTAAGAAAAGACCAGCATCACTAAGGCAAAATCTCCGGGTAATATTTCCTCAGGGCCAGGCTTCCTTTTTGTGCTGGCACCTGAACTAGGTAATGTGTAAGAGTTTCTCAGACAGTACTCATTTTAATGACATGAGAGATGCAGGATTGAAGGTGTCCTGGAGAGAATCTGAGGTTTGTCAATGTGGTAGGGCTGGAGTTCCTGAAGAGAGGCTATGATGACATTTGTGAAAGTACATCCTCAGTTGCACTGGAGAAATTAGGGTACCAGAGATACCAGGACTGTGGGGTGACCACCAAGACCAGTAGAATAAGGAATCCTAACTAGGCCTCTCCTTCAGAAGCTTTCAGAATTGTGTTTAGCAATCCTGCTGCTTTCAGACACGGTTTAGTCAGAATTTCCTTTGACATGACTGCCCTCCTGTTCAGTAGGCTTCAATCCATTTAGACAGCTGTTGGTTGCAGCTACAATTTAAGTGCTGGTATTAGACCTTTAGGGGTATTTTGCCCTGGTCATTGTGGTTCATATGTGTCACAGCTGGGTAGGATCATTGATTGTTTCCTTCTTTGACAGTTTACATAGCACTTTCTGGAATGCAGAGGGAGGAGGCTTTCTGATCAGTTCCAGCTAAAATTCTCTCAGTACTGTGTTCAAAGTAGGTGGTGTCGTCAACAATAGAAACTTAATTTCAACTTTGGAGAGTCAACCAAGGGCAACAGTTATAGCCTATATTGTTTGAGATGGGTTTCCTGGACTCCTTTGGCCAACAGCTACAGAGAGAGAGAGAGAGAGAGAGAGAGAGAGAGAGAGAGAGAGAGAGAGAGAGAGAGAGCATAAGGCAGTCATATAGAGGATGTTTACTAGCTAGAGTGAATATAAGGGCAGCAGGCCTGGACATTCTTTTCTTGTTCCACCACCTTCCTCATCTACTTTCACCAGCTCTGTTCTGTGACTGGGGACTGACTTTTGTTTGTTTGTTTGTTTGTTTGTTTATTTATTTATTTAGAAAACAGTTTCCTCTTTCATACATGTCAGCCACCATTTCCTCTCCCTCCATGCCTCCAGCTCTCCCACCTCCCTTCTTCCCCAGGTCCACTCTTTTTAAAATGTGTGTTATATTACCAGATCACCATTGCTCTTTTAGTTATGAGTGTGCTGGGCTGGGCTTCCAGTTGCATGGAACAAATTGAATATGAATAGCAGAATTTCACACTGTGTTTCAGGGAATTAAAAGGGACTCGGGTTACTTTGGGGGTAGTGCTCATCCCTGATTCTAATTCCAATGAACTTGACTAGTACCAGGTTTTTTCTTTTTCTAGAATAGGGTAGTGATGGCTCACTATTGTCCAAATGCACAGGGAACCTCAGCCACTACTATCTGCTTGCCTTAATACTGGACTTTCTACTAAAGTATATTCCATCAAACTTTTAAAAATATAACTTGTTTTTTACTAGAAACCTGATTGGAAAGCAGGGAGTTCTAAAACATAATGAAAAGAAAGAGTGATATGTAAGAAAACATAAAAAAAAGACCTAAAATTCAGGCAGAAGCATTAAAGTTTATCCACACTTAAGAAATGAAAGAAAAGAAAAAAAGAATGAATGAATGGATGAATGAATGAATGACTATCAGTGAATTCTAATATGGAGTCTGCCTTCTAATAGACAGACCTAGCACAGACAAATAGAGAAACCATTTTCATGAAATGAGTGGGTGTATTTCTCCAGCTATATGAAAATATCATCATACCATGCTACTCTATTGCAATCACTTCCAACAGGGATTCTAAAAGCTTAGAACGAAGCACAAGAGACCAGAAGCAACATGATCCATGCAAACAAATCCCATATAAAATTGAGTGCTTCCTGATGGTCAGCAAACTGGTAGAAGAATAACAAAAAAAAAAAAAAAACTTTAATAACTCAAAATTGGCTTAATGCAAAATATTAACAAGCTACAAAATGCATACTCTAATAGAATTAAGGCACGCATTTGCTCTTTCTAAGTTTTTATGTTAGGCTGCCAACTCAGGACCCAGCCCTCTCTGAGACACTTGCTCAGACATTACTCTTAGAAGCAAACCCATGATCTGATGTTCTCTTTATGGTTTAGGCCACAGTCCTAAGCTTCAAGATTGGAAATTACAAGGGATGCCCATTCTTCATATAGCAAAACATTAAATTTACCATGTGATATGTGCCCCTCATTGTTTATTGCTGATATATTTTGACTTAATTAAACACTGTTGTTTCTATAAAGAATTAACTATATATAAATTGTGATTACTAACACTTGTCAAAAAGACCATAACTAATGCAAAACAACACAGGCTTACATATCTACACACACTTGTAGCCTTGTTGTTGCTTATACACAGAAAATGTGGTCATACTTTATATCAATTTGTTTTATAATAATTTTAAATAGTGCCATGTGAGATAATAACTTATTGTGCATGTAAAACTTGAAACAATTAATTTTATTTTATGCTCACATTTATGTAAAAATTAATTTTGTGAGTTTAAACATACATAGTTTCTCTGCACTTCTCTGCACTACAATCATACATAAGTAACTAACCCTATTTTCATTAACTAGAAATGGGGATGGATGAGTTTTATATGTTTAGAAAGTACCTCAGTCACCAGATTCCAACAGACAAAACATTATGAGAAACATAGACACTCTACATCTTCCAAGCCATGGACCAGCATGATGGACTGACTCATCTAAGCTATGCTGAATGGCTGGAAAAAATATTAGATCCAAAATTTGGAGCATATAGATTACAAAAGCCATTGTAAGTCTTTATCTGGGTGGGTGAGTCTTGTTTACTAAGTTTTTGACAAAAAGTGTTGTTGCCAAGAGACTTAGTTAAAAATGTGTTCAATGTGCTATGATTATCATCAACTTTCCCAGGAACAAACATTTCTGCTCAGATCTTACATGCACTGCTGGCTGTGTCCTGACATCTTTAACCTGTATGTACTGTTTCTTTTAGGTTGCTATGGCTACAAGACCTGACACAAACAACAAAGGAAGGAACATTGATTTTGACTCATAGTTTCAGATGGTTTGAATAACATCATGTTGAAGAAGGTATGGCAGAGCATTTCAGTTCATTGCATTTGAGCCTGTGGGAGAAGATGCTAAAGTCACTGTGGACCAGCAAGCAGTGAGGGTGACTAGGGAGAGACAGGATTCTGGTATCATTTTCTAATACCTACTCCTCATAACCTGCTTCTCCCCTGGTTTCAAATACCTACCAAAATTACATGTTCATCTAGAGATTCATTCAAATATATTCAAATCCTGAACCTGTAACAGACAATTTTGATTCAAGCTATAATGCTATGTATGACTGAGTCAAGTATTGGTGAAATTATCAAGGCAACTCCATGTAGTTAAAAGGGAGGTTTATTTTGTGGGGTAACTTACAAGTGAAGGGATGGGCTACAGGGTCTGGGAAAGGTGCAGTCCTGCAGTGTTCTCTGGTGAACTCTGCTTGGTCTACCTTCAGTGTCCAGGCTCCAGAAACCAAGAGAGCTGGTGTATCCAGTCTTCAGCGTCCTCCCTCAGCCCCAACTTGTAGGCGTGAACTTTACAGAAGCCTCAATGGGGGTTGGAACTTCCAGGTCAAAGTTGGAATGGCTACCCACTACAATCAAGAGTGAAGATTATGGGTGCAAATTATCTCAAGCACCATTATAATTTTAAATGTACTTAATTTCAGAATCATATGTGTTCAGTTATTTCCTTATAATTTAATTCTCACTCTCCCAAAGAAATATTGTTATGTGTTTTGAAAAATCATCATATTGGTCCATACATCCCATAATAGGACCATTATTAATTGCATTATAGGAAGTGAAGTATGGTGTTTGTTTATCTGCTTGTATATGCATTCAACTGTGTATTACTGTATTTATGATTATAGTCATTCTACTACTTTCCATTGTTCATTACTCTGCATGTTATCACAATTATCTCTGCATCTGCTGCATAAAATTCTATACCTTATAAACAATCTGTTTTATGATATTTGACTCTAAATAACAAATAATATTATTGTAAAAATAGACAAAATTTTGAAGCCAAGAATATTCATTTTTTTTTCTCATTCTCCTTCCTTCCCACCATATCTCCTCATTTTCTTCCATCTCCTTATTTTTCTTTCATGTGTAATTATTATTTTACATACTTTCTTACTTTATATCCAAAATGATTGATCATTATCTATATGTATAAGTAGGAAAGAAGGTGAGGATAAAATTAATAAAGAGAAAAATGAATAACAGAAAAGCTCAAAATATCTGAATGTCTACTTCATAAAGATGCTATTAAGAGAGAAATATTTGTCAGAGTTAATAATTTGTAAAGCTCATATAAATTCAAATGAATTACAAATTATAAATTTTACAATAAAAATTCTTTTTGAAAAGAGATCAAAACAACAAAGCAGTGACTGATTGATTCAGCCTTTGTGATAACTGCTATACCTAGATAGAAGCATTAGGATATCATCAACCAATTCAGGCCAAAAAGTAAAAGCCAATGCACTTTCCTTCTTAGAACTTACTATCAAAAAATCGATCATAGGACATTTAACAAAATTTTACCTTTAAGTATTGGTATTCAATGAGATTCTTGTGAACTGACTGAAGAAACATTTTAACATTTTTTTAATTTTTAAAAATGTAAGGTAATTATATCATTTACTCCTTTATCTCTCTTCTCTTCAACTTCTCCCATGCAAGCCCTGTTCTCTCAAATTCATGGCCCTTTACCAGCAAAAAACTTATCCTGATGTAGCTGGATCTCTGCAACAAGACTGTATATTTTAATATAGTAAATAGAGATGGAGGGAAGATATAAAGCCCCTTCAAGGCTATGAAACCATGCCAAAAAGAAAACTGGGGGGGGGGTGTTCTGATGTTCTTTTATTGATGAACTGGTAAGAATGGAAAAAAGGAAATCAAGGAATGTATTCATACTTAATTATGTATTTGAAAGAATTTTAAAGAATTAAAATGAGCTACAAAGAATGAGTTTATTTATGTTCCTCACCCAGCTGCCACTAATATAACCTCACATAGCATCCTCACATAACCACAGTTCAAAACCTGGAAATCAACCTTGGCTGGGACTATGAACCAACTTGTATTTGAGATTGAGATTTATTAAATTTCCCATTAATGTCCTTTGAAACGTATTTATTTCACTGTGTGTGTGTGTGTGTGTGTGTGTGTGTGTGTGTGTGTGACATATATGGAGGTCACAGGACAACCCACACAAGTTAGTTCTCTTCTTCCACCATGTAGGTTCCAAGGATGACTCTCAGGTCATCAGCCTAGGTGGCAAGCACCCTTAACCACTGAGCAATCTCACTGACCCCCTTAGTGCTCTTTTGTTATCCAGGATTACAGGCAGGTCCTGTTGATCTTTGGATTATTGTTCCATTTTCTCGTTTCTCCTTCTTCTTCTTCTTCTTCTTCTTCTTCTTCTTCTTCTTCTTCTTCTTCTTCTTCTTCTTCTTCTTCTTCTTCTTCTTCTTCTTCTTCTCCTTCT